CCGCCCCGGCCACCGCGGATGACGTCACGGCGGGACGAGCCAATGGTGACCCCCGCTCTCCGTCGCCGTCTGCTGCGTGTTCTCGGCGCACGGCCAATCAGCGGCCAGGGGCGTGCTGAGTCATGCCGCGGGGGCGGGGCGGGGCCGAGCTGGGAGTGGGGGAGCGTGAGGGGAGCTGAGCTGAGCTGAGCTGAGCTGAGCTGAGCTGAGCTGAGCTGAGGGTTGGGGTGCGGTGCTGAAGGCAAGGGCCTCTCCAGCTCCCCCGGGGATCCAGCCGCAGGCCACAAGCAGTCCTGCGGCTGTGAGTACCCTGTTGTACGGGCGCTCCAAGGGGCGGGAGTGCAGGGCTGTCCTGGCTGCGGGACACTTGTCTCAAATAAGGGTACGTGGGAGAGTGATCCAGAAAAACCCATGTCGGACTGGTTCACTCCAGAGGACACTACAGCATCTCAGCCCTTTGCCTTTTTCATTTTCGTTTCATTTTTTCACCAGGGTTTAGGCTGTGGCACCATCCCTCTGGACTGTGATGCTTCACTCATGTTATTTCCAAACTTTATAATAAATCCAGAGAGCTCGGTGACAGAGGCTGTTCTCACCACAGCAGGCTGATGCTCAGGGCCCCGCTGCAGGACTTCAGCACGTGCTGACTGGTTTGGGTGGACAAACATCAGCTGCAGCTGTGGGTTTGCAGAAGTCAAATGGATAAAAAGTTTTTCCCTGCTGGTCTCTTTTTAAATGCTTATCTCACTTTAACAAGGCACCTCAAGATCAAGGTGTAGTTTAGAAATTTTGATCTTTGAGTGTGTGTAACAATATGGCTTCACACAGAGGAGGTGAGGACTATTGATTTAATGACATTTGTTACAGGATTGAGAAATGGACAAAATGTTGTTTTGCCTCTGGTCTCCCCAGAAAACACCTGACTCTCCTGTAGTACATGACTCAGATGCAGAGTGGAGCTATGAGATCGAAGAGAAGCTTTAGGAAGGCATGTAGTAACTGACTGCAAAGGCCAATTTGTGCTGTCAAAGTCTGGGAATGGCATGTGCCACTCATCTGTCTTCCACGTCACCCTGCCACACGGCGTTCGCGTGACTCCTGCTGTGCGTGCCAGCTTACAGCCGGCCGCACCGATGTTACGGGCTTCCTGGCAGCACAGACCTGATGGATTAAATGATACCATGTCATCAGCCAGCTGTTCTTACCAGGCTATCCCACGCATATCAATTTTCCTTCCTGGACCCATAAAATTACCCGAGGTCCTTCTTTAAAGCCCTTCTTTCAGAAAACAACTGCAATGACAGAGCACTAGCCTGCTGCAGGTCTTTGGTTTGCAAAGGGAGAACTCTGATTTTGTCTCCTGTGGCACTTGCTGCATGGGGTCTTCTCGGACAGCTGTGCCCTGTCCATGCTGGGAGCACCCACAACCCACCCTGGGGGCACCCGGGGGGTGTGATGTAGCCCCACCAGGAGATACTAGTTCAGGTCTGGGAGCAGTGTGAAAGGCAGTGCTGTGCCGAGCAGACTGGGTCCTGTCCCTCTGCCCAGCATGGCTGTAGACACATAAACTTTGGAGACTGATGTGAGAAGAGACCTTCTGGGTCATTCAATTCAAGTTCCTATTAAATATATAACTACTACATGTAATCCCCTTCATAAACAAACCAAACCCGATGTTAAAAACCGTTTATTCCCATCAGAAGGCTGTCTCACAACCCCACTGCTCTCATGAAAAAAAGAGAGCTTCAAGTTTCTAGCATAAAATTTTTCCTGGCCATCTGCCTTCAAAGCAGTATTGTCCTTTGATTTACATAGTTTCTTCTCACTGTGTCTGTATAACCCACAGCTGAAGGAAAGAAGCTTTGAATGTGTAAGTTAGAGCCATCATTGTCTGGCTGTGTCCTAGAAGGGTGTTCTGCAGCAGTGGTGGATGTTTCCATCAGACATCATGCTGTTCATCTGCTGATGGTCCCATCCCTGGGCAATGGCTGCCCTTCTCCTTGCCAGCAGAACCTGCCTCTCAAGTCATATCTGATGCAAACCCTGGTGCTCTCAGGCCCAGGAAGTGCTTTAGCAGTCAGTGCTCCTTTTAGCACAAAGACGTGTCTGGTACTTGAAAATACAGCTGTGCAGCATTTTCCACCAGGTTCCTTTGGCCCATGGCGTGTGATTACAAGGATTTCCCTTGACTGAGCTGACCCAGCTACCTGATGTCTGCCAGGGCAGTGGGGGGCAGCCAGATCATGGCACACACCCCTACTTTTCTTGTTCTGATCTTGTTGGTTTTGACAGTTGGGAATGGGAGAGTGTTAAAAAGAAGGAGGAAACAGCAAAAAAAAATCTAAATATAAACAGTAATAGAAAGTTCATTTATACAAGATACTTCAAGACCTTTGCTCCATTATGCATCTATACATCAGCTCCATTGTACTATTTACACAACATTCAAGAATTCAGGAAGTGCAAAGAAAACCACATGCCCTACTGAGCTCACAGACTGATTTTTTTTTCATATAAAGCACCTACCCAACACCTAAGAGGAGTGGGACGCCAGTGATTTCCCCAGGAAGGCTTGCCAAAAAACAGTGGGGCCAGCTAAGTGAAGATGCTGGTGTCTTTGTTGGCTGGCTGATGCTGCACTGGAGACTGGAGATCCGCTGCCAAAGGGATCATGTTTTATGGTGGGGAAGGGAGGAGTTTGCGTATGGATAACAACAGAAATGGCTCTGCGCAGATTAGATGCTCTTAAGGAAGACTGTAAATCCCAGGTCTAGAAACCCACATAGTACAGGCAGCCGTCTTAATAGAAACGAGGATTAGAAATTAGCTGAGGTCTTTAGTGATATTTTTAGAAGGTTGCTCCTGACAGGTTAGGCTGCTGAGAACCAGAGGAAAGTGCCGAACCCCGTATTACCCGGGAAAGGATCACACAGTGCAGCGTGTGATTAGAGGCTGGCTAGCTTAGCGACAAGGGAGATAGGTGGGTTAGAACTGATTCGGGGGGAATTAGCAAAGGAAATTGCTTGAGAAGCAGAATTTGATTAGGGGCAGCCAACATGGATTTATGAAAGGAAAGCTATGTGTAACTAACTTGCTGGAGTCTGGGGGAGGTACTGCTCCTGGCAGCCTCTGGTGTGTTGGTTTTATATAACCTGATCTGCAAAGGGAAGGCCTGGCCATTGCTACCAGAGTGGTGACAGTGGCTGACATGGATGGGGGTCACCTCCCTCCCCTGTCTCTGCATGGTCTCTTTACCTCTTCTTTTCCCCTCCATCCCTTTTACTCCTTTTCTAGTTTTTTTAGTAGAGGAGGGCTATTGTTTTTTCCTTTGTCCTGGATTCTGCTCTCTGTCCTTCCCCTCCTCTCCCATGAGACCTGGGAATGCCTCTCGATGGTTCTGTAGGGGGTTAAATGCCACTATCCACCCCACCTCAACAGCACTATCTGCTTTAGGACTCACACTGCATCCTAAAGAGGGAATAAAACACAGCCTTCCTCAGCTTCACAGATGTTTGATCCTCCAAACAGGGCCCCAAGAGTTGGGGCTAGTTGAAGAAGGCTAGAATTGCTCTGCAGAAAACAGAAAATCCTCAAACAGCCTCAGACCTGCACACCACTCCCCTCCAGTATGGCCTGTCCAGCCTGGTAGAGAACAAGCATGGAGGAGCAAAGGCCAAGTGAGACTTGATCCAGCTGAAGGGACCACCGTGCTGCCCAGAAGAGAGAGAGGAGGTCTTCAAAGACCTTCCCTGTCCCCTCTGTTGTGGCAGCTCTAATTGCATGGCTGGAGAAAGTCCTTGATGGTTTTCAATGCTACGGCTGACAGGATGGAAAACCCAAATGGGACAGCCTAAAGGTGGCTTTTTTTCCTCCTGTGCAGCCTGCCTGCTAGGGCAGGGCGACATTTGTGGGATGGCAGGGGATGACTGTCCTGCATTGCTGCCAGCCACGGACAAGGCATGGATGGGGAGACAGAAATGTGTCTGGCTCCATCCTGTCTCTCAGGGCATGGTCTGTCCCCTTCCCACCAAGGTGTGTTATGACAGGCAGCACCGCACAGAGATGACCGTGGCCAAAATAGCCGGTTTATCCACCTCCTCTCTGTCTTGTGTGCTCCAAACTCCACCCAGCCCTGTCTGAAAACCATGGACAAGTCCCCTGTCCCCAAAGTCCCCAGGGCCACCCCACTGGCCATCGTCTTCCCGGACCAGCCAGGAGCATCCTGCTTGCTGCTCCAGCTGCGGAGCCGCTGCTCCAGCATTAACGTTCAGGTGACTCCAGCCCACATTTGCCTCTTCAGGTCTCTGAACTCCAATCCCATCATCCTGCATTTTGGCTCATAATTTCGTGTCTCTTAAAACTGAATTTTATTTTTATTGCAATGACCCTGTGGTGCTGCCAGATCCCTCTGTGGACGAGACATGACATCTCCATTACATAGCTCAGATAAGTGTCTTAAAGAGACCACACACAAAGGAACCTAATGGTACCTATTTTTATTAGGTTTATTACAGGAGGGGAAGTAAAGCAGTCCGATCTCCCCACAGGATACTCTGTTAACAGCAGCAGACAGAGAGGAGAGATCTGTGGAGGCGGATCAGTTTTCCAAGAATATTAGCTACTGCTGCTCTAAAATTAGAGTCTAGGGAGAGCAGACAGGTTGACATAATTGAAAGGGCTGTCTTATGGGATGACATAGTTAAACGAGCCCATGATCAGCTTTAGAGTGACAGCTCAGCGACTTCTCCTAATCCCCAAAGGAGCACTGAGGCTGTGATTTAACTAGTCCTGGATCTTATCTTGTGATGATGTCAATATTATTAGAACTCATTTCTAAAGAGGTGCCTCCAAAATCACTGTACATGAACCGACTGGTTTTACAGGCACGACTCTCCCAAAGCTTCGCCCTGCAAAGCCCATAGTTGACAGAAACACTCCTCTGCTGCCCTTCTTACATACCCGATCCTGTGTCCGTGGGCAGGACTACAGGGGCAGACCCAGAAACAGGATTAAGAACCTCATTTCAGGCTGGAGCTGAAAAATGTCCTTGAGCTGCCCATTTTATTCAACATAATTTAATATCAAACACAAACTAACAAAGTTAGAGGTGAAATATAATAGCAGGAACCCCATAAAAAGTAACCTAATCTGTAAGATAAATAGACAACACTTTAGCCTGGGGAGATAGCAAATAAAAGAGAAATATGAGCAGAGCCATTCTCAATTCATAAGTAACTTTAAAGAGAAATAATGAAGATGAGTTCTTTAACTTTTAATGTCCTAAGATCCTTCTCAACCAAAAAAAAAAAGGCATTTTTAATGTTTTCTGCATACATTCTCACAAGGTGGATGTCCAGCCAAATGCCCTGGATCTTTCCCATGCAAGCAGATACCGTCAGAAACAGAAATGCTTCGGAGGGGGCATCCTGCAATTCCTGACAGGGTGGAAGATATCGGAGATGGAGTTTCTCTGAACCCTTATGCTGATGGAGCCTCTCACTTGCCTTCAGTGGCCACCTCCCACTGCCTTGTTTCAGGTGCAAAACTCAGAGCACCCACTGCCTTCATGGTGGCATTAACAGACTGTTATTATTTTAATTTTTTTTAGCCATTTTTTGTTAGTGCCTACTTTAACTTCAAAGGCTGGGATTTTCCAAGCAGCCTAATGCATTTAGGCACCTAAATCCCATTGAGTTTCAAGTGCATATCAGCCCTTAGGCTCCTTGGCAAATCCTTGCTAAGTGCCTAAGGGCTCATCGCCGCAGCCACTGTTATGCTGCCGGATTTACACAGATACCATTATACCAGCATGAGCTCACTTCTTCGATAGAAGAGTCTCTTGTTTAAAACCCCTTTCCTAAATGACAAAGTAAACTGGAAAGGGCCTCCTCTGATGGTTATTTTCTGGTGATATATACCTGTACAAGAATGTTAAATTCTCTCCTTGGGTTATACTGAAAAAAACCTTTGCTTTGTAGACTGAACTTCAATTAGAGACCAAGTGCTCCTAATCCCCAGCTTTTGGCCCTCCAGGGGAAACCTCAGATTTGGTGTTTTAGAAGTAAAACCCACCATATCTCCCACTGCTTCTGATACCTCCTATGTCTCCAACTCAGTTTTAGAGCATCATTTTAGAAAGAGGAGGCTTCTCCTTCTTTAGTATCACCACGAACTGTGTAGGAG